AGGAGAGTCACGGTCAAGTCCTCATTTGGAAGGGGGAATGGAACTCTCTCTTCTGAGTTTTAGCCCAGCTAAAACTCTGTGTTTGGTGCCATTTCCCCTTGGTTGGACTGGGACCCAACCTGGGTCATTCTTGGCTCTGCCCAGCTCAGCATTTGTTTCCAAATTTAGTTTCCACTTTTATAAAAGCCTCCATATTTCTTTAGGGTTCCTTTCAAGCCATATTTTGTTTTGTTTTGTTTTGTTTTGTTTTGAAAGGATGAGGGCTTTTGCTCTATAATGATCAGCCCAGAAAGGCAAAATTTTACCAAATATTCAGCTCTCAAAAGTTGAGTTGCCATCACAGGGCTGCCGGGACATCACCACCTTTCAAAGCGCAGTGCCGACACCCTTTTCCTGGCACCGCAGTTTTCCCCTATCAGCCAACCCCACTCCCGTGCCTCTGTATCAGATGCCATGCGAGGAAAGGGCTGGCAGAGCCTGGCCACAGAAGAGGGCCGTCGCTTTTGAAAGTCAGCAACACTGGGACCAAGGTCCATTTGTCTGATCAAGAAAGGCAGCTACCCAAAGGGAAAGGCACATCTGACTTCCCACAAACAAAACTTTAGGTAGAATGTGCCTGAGCTGGTGGGAGGGGAGAGCGGAGTTCATAAGGTTTTGCGCCACCAGATTCTCTGCAAAACACAAATGGCCAAACAGTAACAACAGCAACCCCTGGGAAGCTCGCAATGTGCACCTCCGAATATATTCCTGTCACGCCAGGGTGCCTCATAGGCTCCGTGGAATGACTTTTTAGCTTGATACAAAGTGAGAACAGCCACAGGGTAATAAATTTCTTACTGTCTAAAACAGTAGTCCACAAAGTAATCATTGCAAGAAGCAAGAGGTATTTTATCTCCTCAGTGGCGGCAAAGTGCCTCTTCTGACTGAAAATTTTGTATTTATTCCATAATGCACAACTTCTGCTCACCGCTCATCTCTGTCCCACCCTTCTAAAGGCAGGGATGTTCCTGACTGTCAGAACTGCCAGCTTTGCCCAGCAGGAAGCTTTGTCACCAGTGTCCCCGAGCCAGTCTCTTAGCCAAGAGAAGCAGGAGCCCACCAACGCTAACACTGAAAATCCAGAGGGAGGGGAGAGAGGTCTGACTGCTGAAGTCAGTGGTGGTTTGCACCCGTCACCATTTGCCTTCCAGACACTGTGCACTGGGGCCCAAGAGCAGCGTCCCTCATCAGGCTGCCCCTGAGTGCCGCCCACCGGTGACAGTCGGAGAGAGAATGAGAGGGGGGAGAGAGAGAAAAGAGAGTCGGAGGGGGTTCACCTTGGAGCAGGATGCTCTGAAATGCCCAATGCTCCTATGCCTCTTTAGACATTAGTATGTGCTGGTCAGAATAAGCCAAATTTCAAACAGTCCTAAACCTGATCGAAATGGCCCTTCTGCCCCAGCTCCCCTGCTTCAAGTCTCAATCTAGATCTCGGCATCTGACAAACCATGGTGAGAGTTTGCAGAAATATTAAGGAATGAACCTTTGCCAGAACTAAAACCGAGATGAAGGCAACAACAATCAAAGACACTTAGGACCTCGTGGACTTGCAGCCAAAGCACTGGAACTTGGTTCAACAAATAAATGCAATGACAACGAAGAAATGCAGGATTCGCCGCAGCAACTTATAGCAGAGATTTATAGCGGAGACCGGAGTGCGGCACTCTTGAAAATGCAGGGGTTTGGGGCGGGGGTTAGAAACGGAAAATAAAGAAAGAGAAGCAACGGATTTAAATGCAATCTAAACATTTCAGCCACTCTTTCAACCTCAGAAATTCCACCAAGATTTGGGTGATGCTAATGGTCTTTGAACCCATGTTTGAAAATGTCACAATAGATGTTTGAATTAAAATCCAGCAAGTTTGCCAAGAGACCAATTGTTTAAAATTGGCAGCATTCCAGGTGACTTACTAGGTTACATACTGCCCGGGGCTGAGAGAATTGTTAATTCCAGAGCAAGTTAATTATCACCTTATTGATAAAGGGGTAATTTTTTAAAGCTCCTGGTGTGGCTTTTGTGACTCATTAATTAAAATTTAGAGTAATTGACTAGACACAGTAGTGGCTTCTGTCACACTATATAGGAACTCAACCATCAGAGTTTTCTCCCAGGGGCTGTTTTTAGTCCCCGGGTCTTTCCTCACCTAACTTGCCCTTGAAGGCAACAAAAACATTAAAAACGTTTAAAGCTCAAACTAGCCTTTTGGGAAACTGCAGGATTGGGAAGAGGTCCAAGGAGGCACTTAATCAAAACTCATTCCTAGAAATGTCAAGTTTACCCACCAAAATGAAGAAACCTGTGTAATCACAGCAAATGGGAAGGTTTCACACACTTCATCTCCAAAAGCTGAGACCAAATGTTATGCTCTTTGATAATTAGGTGGCAAGAGGGTTTTTCCTCCTCTTTTCCCTTCTCTCCCACAGCGTTCGGAATGAAAACAGAGGGTGGGGACGAGGAGTGCGAGGGAGAAAAACGGAGGGCAGGTGGAACTGAAGCCCCCAGCCCCGCAAGGGAGCAAGTCACCGCCTTTCTTCAGGACAGTGGATTGAGGCAAGAGCACCAGGGCCGCCTGGAGTCCGTGCCTCCCTGAAGCTTCTAGGGGGCTGGGGAGGACCGGTGTCCCGCTGAGCTCTGCCCCGGCCCCAGGGAGCGAGTTCCCAGTTGCAGCTCCGCGCTCTGCCGGGACCCAAAGCTGGGTCTACCCTGCCTCACCAGGTGAAACTATGGGGGTGGGATGTGTCCTCCCCACGCGCCAACTGGAAGCAGACCAGCAAAACATTCTACAATCTAACTCCCCAAATGTTCAGAAAGCTGATTTCTCTCTGAGCGTTTCTTGTTTTAAAGGAACTTTAGTCATGTGTTCCTTGAACTTGAAGTATTTGAGATCCAAAACTGAGATTAAAAAAAAAAAGCCACCACTTTCTGAGAGTTTGAATACAATCTGATTTTTAGATCACTTAAAGTTTAAAAATTTCTATCCTTGTATGTTGAGGGACTACTTGAATTTTTATTATAAACATATTATTTAACATTTTTAAAAGTCATGACTTTTTCAAATTTTCAGTGAAAGCAGTCCTTAAAAGCAGGGTGACAGTCCTTGAGTCAGCTTGATTTCCAGCCATCAGTCCTTCTATCTCCCCTGCAGCTGGGGCTGAGGGGGGACAGCCCGGACCCCAGCCCTGAGAGCCAAGCACCAGAAAGTGAAACTGTTTCTGCTGGTTTCACTTGCCTGAAAATGCACCACCAAAAACAAATAAATGACAGAAAGCAATTTATCCTGATTTCCCTCATTGTTTTATTTTCTATCCATTAACGTTCACTTACTCCCCCCCCCCCCGCCTTGTTGAAGCAAAATAAAAGGAATTTTTGTGGCATGGGGAAGAAATGTAAATATGTTAAACATATGAGAACTGGATTTTTGTGGGATATTCTCTTTTCTTATAATTCCACAAATCAAGCAGACACATTAAATTTACCAAAATATTAGAGTCTCTCCACATATACAATTTAAAGAGCTAAAGAAAACATTTTCAAATTTTTAAAACTATCTGTAATAAATATGTTTAAAAGATAAAGATTTCGAGGCGACCAAACAACTTCCCCTAAAACTGACAGTGCTCCATTAATATTTTATTTGAGTTTACACGATCACTATTGTTTTCCTAGACAATCTTTGCCTGGTGGTTTTGCTCAAATCCCCACCTTATTTTTTCAGACTGGCTCTACCAAGCACAACAACAGCAAACCCCACACAGGCGTGTAAACTACCCGCACTGTAAATTCCATCACAGTATATGCTTTCACTCCAAATATTGTTTTATTTAAAAAGAAAAAAGTCTTGGGGCGGGGTGGGGGGTAGTGGGGAAGCAGCTGCATCTCTCACTCTCTCAACATGGGTCTTCTGGTTGAAAAGAAAGAAACACGGAGCTCACGATCAACACCTCAGTTCCGTAGCTCCTGGATTTCTTTCCCAAGCCACAGTGTCTGACACCAACTAAAGAGCCATTTCCTCAGAAGGCTGCTGGTGGGCTGGCCCTCCTAAGGACTGTCATGGAGCATGGAAACACCACCACAAGCCACCTGTCCCTTACTGTGACAGGTGGAGGAGAGGATTTTGACTCAGTACCTCAACTATCAGTAAAATGACCGACATCAGCACCTCACCCTCATCCGAGGTCCTCTCCTGCTCAGCTAACACCTGGGGAGAGAGCCTTGTGCCACTAAGAGGGACACGTGCAAATGGGTTCAAGTCACACACCACCCCACCTGGGAAGGTAGTGACTGTGTACTTGAATTTGGTAAGACTGCTCCTGACACTCCATATTCACCTGTTTGTTTTCCCTTTTCCCTGAAACTAACCAGCACCAGCAACCAGCAATAAACATTCTCATCCATCCTGGTCAGTTCAGAAACACCAGCACAAAGACAGGTAAAATATTCCATCTGGTATACAAAAAACAAAATTCAATTCAAAAAACCACACTTGCCTGTTCACCACACACTGATTTTAAAAATTAAATTTTAAGTAAATATTTTATCCCAAAATATATTAAAATTTTTTTAATTAAAAAACCAAGCAAAACAAAATCAGCACCATAAAAAAAAAAAGCTAATCAGTTATTTGAGTTCACATTTGAGGGGAAAAAAAAACAACTTTCTACATATTTAAATGCAGAGTTAAAGAGTAGTCACATGTATATATCCAAAATTTATAAACTGTATAATTCTATACTACATCTTTCCCCTCTGAGATCTGATGCAGAAATTGAATGTTTCTTTTGAGTAGAAGGAACTAAAGTTTCCCCGCCGCCCTCAGTGGCTTCAGTGCAGCCCATTCATGCAATGGCACAGAGTAGGCATGCAACCCAGAAAAACTGAACCAGGTAACCTGTCATGCTGACAGCAGAAAGAGAAGGATCCCGTGTCCGCGGCACACCCTCCGATTGTGTCTCTCCCTTACCTACGGCTTGTTCACCAGAGCCCTGATCAGGTTCTTTACCAGGCCAGGAGTGTTGACTCAGAAGACAGAAGACTTTCGGTACCTGCAAACCGAGTACTGCAAAGGCTAATCTTCCACCCGTGTGTTAGTAGCTCACAGTTAGTCTCCAGCAGCCCTGCTCCCCGGCTGCAAACATCTCATTAGACTAATGCATTCAGCACAGGCAGAAAACTCGATTTACCATAGCTACAGCAATGAATTTCCATTACGGTGACAGCTTCAACCACATCATGTCCGGAAAACCAGCCAACCACTGGCTTTTAAAGAACACACACATTTTACATGCAGAAAACGAGGCGTGTGTGTGTGTTTCATGTTTCCTTCCTCTTAGCAGCCCGACTAAGAGAAATGTGCAGTGTAGCTTTTCGTTAACATGAGCTGCCAGGTAATGACACTTCTGCTGCTTTGGTAGTTACGTTCTTGTAATAAACTGAATTATGTCACAATTGTCAGATAGGGGTGTTTCCCACATTTCAGTTTTCATTACCCCTCCTCTGTTGCCATAGAAACCAGACTGTAACATCATCTCTTTGTCCCAGCCCTGCAGCAGTGTGGGCCAGCACCAGGCTTACAAGATAACTGGTGAGCTGAAGGAGTAAATGTTTGACTTGAACAAATAAGACAAAACAGGGATATTCTAATATCGTCGTTGTTCGGGAGAGACTGTGCGCCTGCCAGAGGGGAGTGCCCGCACGGATGGACACGCTGCGATCACCCGTAGGAACTCCACAGCTGCGCACAACACATGTGGTCAGTTCACTTTATGACTTGGGCTCCAGAGCTGTGTGTGTAAGTGCAGAAGAGCTTCTGTGCCCAGGAACGTGTCCGGGCTGCCTGGGGTGGCGCAGTCCTTCCCCAGGAAAGGGCTACTCTTCCTCCTCTGCACGCTCCGGTGTTCTTGGTGGCAAACCAATTCACACTGGAAAAGGGACGTTTTTCTCCTTTTTTTGTAAAGTGGAGCAAGGCCCCCCATTGCCCATTTCATTTACCCCATTCTGGAGTATTACTCCCACGTATTTCCCACAAGAAGAAATATTCATTCAACAAATACTTGGCCACCTGCAGACTTATTCCTGGGGCTGAGCAGAAAGCCAATTCGGCCAGGAGTAAACACCAAGTAGGGCTAATTAAGGCTTCAGCCGCAACTTGAACAGTTACCAGGAGTGAAAAAAAATAAAATTACAACTTGAGGGTTTTCTGAATATATAGGCAGAATCATATTAGAAAGAATAAAAAAAATCTCTGCTTAAATTATGACCAGAGGGGGAAAAATTAAATATTTTTAAAGTCAAAGCATTGTATTTATTGAGCAAAAAGTAAATTAGCTATTTATTTAATCATCTAATTTTATCGTTTTGTTTCGTGTGGGGAAAGGCAAGTTTAGTCATTTTTCATTTTGGTCATCGAATATAAGTTAATTCCATTGAAGGAGTCAGAGGGAAGGAAGGGGGAGGAAGAGGACGAGTAAAGGAAAACAGGACCCGGCAGAGGATTTCCATCCGGCAGCACCTCTGTCTCGGCCACAGCGCTCGCCGTGTAGCAGTGGCCACAGGCACAGGCCCGCACAGGCTGAGATGCTAAACCAGTCTGCACTTGAAAATGTTTCCTCAGATTAAAAAAATCTTCCTAAGTAATCAAAATATTTCCCAAATCTTATCAAAGAAGACTTGACAGAATCTGTCTGAAAGAAAGGAGTTTTGGGTTTTTCTTCCCAGCTTTTTGAGAATTTGTGATTCCAATCCTCAGCATCTGCACTTCCTCACCTCCTCCCAGATGTCCTGCCCTTGTGGCCTGTCCTGAGGCTGGGCGAGGAGCGATGCAGGCGTCGGCATCACGAGTCAGCCACGAAATGAGGCTTAAATAGACATCAACTAAAGCTGGTTTGCTTTAAAAAATAGACACATGGTAGGTAAATAGACAGATACAGGGATACATAGATAGACAGGCTTACTGGATTTCTTTCCTTATGCAAGTAGGACTATAGGCCTTAAGAAAAAAATCTTTTTAAAAAAAAACCTAAATATTTTTAATTTCAAGAAAAATTTTAAGTTAAACATGCCAGAGAGAAGAAATGTGCTAGGATGGCTGTATACAACCTAAGGGGTCTGTTAGGAAGAAAAGGAGCCCTTCCGAGCTAATGTGTTCATGTCTGTGCGCATCCCTGGGCTCCGACGAGGTTTTTCCGTTTCTTGGCCCTGTGGTTACACTCCTGTCGCAGACCACAGGCAGCGACACAAATGCCTGCTGGGTTGGTGGTTCGCAAAGGAAGGTGGCCAGTGGGAGCAAGCAGGCTCATGCGGGGGCGTCCAAACCGCAAACCTACTTAGAGGAGTCTCCGTTGGAAGAGTCATTCTTCTGTCAACTGCTGGCAGTGAGCTGCGGTTCTAACCCAAGCACCCAGTGGAGAGGGCTGTGTCCTGGACAGGGGAGTCGGTGCCACGGCGCAAACAGCCCTCGTTACTGTAATCCCAGCTACCTTTTACAGGGAAAGACCACGTACACATCCTAGTCATTTATCACCTCAGAACAGCCCTATGATGTAAGTATGATACTTACCATTCCCCTTTATAGATAAGGAAACCGAGACTCAGGAATATTAAGTTGCCCGAGGTCACACAGCTCAGAAGTGTCAGGTACAGAATTGACCCAGCCAGTCTGTCCCCAAACACACAGTAATTAATCATGTGGCCACAGGGCCCCCTGGCACTGCCTCCTGTTCCCCCTCTGCCAGTAACCCAATGGCACTGGTGACATCACGGCTCTTTTAGAACATGGGGGAGGGGGATAGGGGACTACATCACCTTTGTAGTCCCTTATGGTTCTGACATTCTACAGTCTGATGAATTGCTTCACTTGCTGGGCAGGAACAGACCAGTGCTTCGTGTTGGAGGAGAACCCAGCTGTAGCTGTGGCTACAGCCATGACTGCTCACAGCCAAAAAGCACCCTCTCTGCCAATAGAATAAGAGCTGGCAAACTGGTGCCTTGGACAGCCAAGCTGGGGTGGACCCCGGGGGGACAGAGCACGGGGAAAGAACAGGGAAGTTTTAAAAGCCAGGATCCCATTCCTAATGAGGCAAAGGAGACCGGTCTCTCACATTCACGTACCTGGCCCCTGACTTTGCTTCCACATCATTCAACACAGACTTTTCCTTAAATGTTCCTGAAAGTTGGAGAAGTTTCTGGGTTCTGGGAAGTGTGACATTTATAATCACTATTTTGCCAAAGGTGAACTTCATCTGTCAGACAGGAGGCAGGACAGACCCCTGGGCTGCCCTAAGCTGCCATTTCTTCAGCTCAAAGTCTTGCCTGCCGTGGGGCCAGAGCTGCGTAAACTATGCGAGCAGAGATCTTTCTAAAACAAAACCAAGACTGATGTTCTTTGTAGTAAAGATGAACAGGAAACAACCTCAACATCCAATAAAAAGAGGTTACTAAGTGTATCTTGTGTCCACGCCATAGAATATGCAATGTGTCTACCAAAAAGAATGTCATAGAAGGCTAAGGAATGACAGGAAAACATATTCTCAGTATATACGTGCTAAAAATTACAGGTTAGAATCTTATTTTGAAAGAATACAATGAGCTACAAAATATTAGACATATGACCCATTGGTGATAGGATTATGAGTAATTTTTATTTTCTTAATCTTTCTTTTTTATGTTTTAAACAAAGGAAGATTTATATTTTTATGATAATTTCAAATTATATGAATTGGTTAGTAACAGAACTTTCTCTTATAACATCTGCAAACATATTTTCTTATAATTTCATAAATCTTAAGTCTTAAATGTATTTGTCATCAATGAAATAAAAATAAAACCTTTGCCTGGTGGTTGTAGGCTTCATTCAGCCATGGCCTTAGCTGATGCTTCAAGCTTGAAGACTGTCCCCAGCCCACTCAAGTCATCCTGCTGTCCCCCAGCCTGGGCTCCTCCAACACCCCAGGCCTTTGAGCCGACGCTGGGTGCTCCGCAGAGCCAGTGCAGAGTCAGCGCAGACTCCCTGCGCTTCCTGCAGTCTGCCAGGTCCTCTCAGGGTGGGTAATTCTCAGACTTGCTTTAGTACAGACAGGTGCTAAAGACAGGTTGCTAGGGAGGGGGTAAGGTGACTGAACGCAGTGAAAACCGCTCCCATCCAAGTTCTCTGGGGCCGTAACCATGGCTCCTCTCAGACAGGGCCTCCTCTGTCTGAGCCTCTGGGCCTGTGGCCCCAGCGGACATCAGGGATTGACGTAGTGGGAATATTTGTCTCATGGCCTAGCTGTCTGGGTGGCCGCAAGCCCAGAGACCCTCGTCCAATGGGCAGCATCTAGTAACAGGGCTGGTGAGGGCCAGTGCTGACAGCCCAGACAGCCAAGGGGTACAACAGGAGGGACTCTTTCTTTGGTCAATTGGCTGTAAACTCCGAGATGGCAGGAAACCAGCCTTGGTCTCCACTGTGTCCCCAGCATGTAACTCAGTGTCTGCTCTGTAGAATGAAATCAACAAATAATTATTGCTGAATGAATGAAATCTTTAATCCTAGAGGTTAAAGAAGGTGACCTAATCAATATCGTATAGGCTTTTTAGATTTGAGTCCTTCCCCCATACCAAAAAAAGGGTAGTCTTTGGATGTTTGTTACCAGGGAAAAAAATCTTCATTTTTTTATATTACAGTTGCCCCAATTTTTTTCTTCCCTTTATCTCCCTTCCTCCTTCCTCCTTGTACCCCCTCCCACCAGCATTCTTCCCACACGTAGTTCATGTCCTTGGGTGACACATGTACGTTCTTTGGCTTCTCCATTTCCTATACTATTCTTAACCTCCCCCTGTCTATTTTGTACGTACCATTTATGCTTCTAATTCCCTGTACCTCTCCCCCAACTCTTCCCCCTCCCCCTCCCTGCTGATAACCCTCCATGTGACCTCCATTTCTGTGATTCTGTTCCTGTTCTAGTTGTTCGCTTAGTTTTTGTTTTTATTTTTTAGGCTCAGTTGTTGATAGTTGTGTTTGCTATCATTTTACCATTCATAGTTCTTGATCTCCTTCTATTTACTAAATAAATCCCTTAAACATTTCATATAACAGTTTGTAAAAATTGAAAGGATGACTTCTGTTTCCTATTTCCCTCCTCCGTTATGTTCTTAAAAACGTTATCTCCTTAGGATCGCCTCTGCTTTGCGCCCTGTTGG